TGCTTGGTGACGGAGCCCTCTGCAGATAGAGGGCATGAGCCCTGCTCATTGCATCATGCAGGTGTTTGTCACCTCCTGTGGTGCTTTCCTGACAGCTAGGAATCCCTGGGAAGGCCTTATCTGGAGGCTACTGAGCTGGACTCTATACTATCAGGGACACAGAAGTCCCTTCTCCTCCACTGTCCATTCCCTCACATTGGGGGATTGGTACCCATCCATCCCTACCATGCTGTTTTCTGACAGGAATTGGGGGTCAAAACCCATCTTTCTGGGGTCAAGCCAAATTTGGTTTTGGTTAAACTACCCTGACCGGATTTCCTTCTTTGTTATTGTCTAAAACATGGTTGCATTGTCACTGAGGTGACAGCCAAGCACCTCCAGGTACACTTGAAAAGCTCACAGAGGCATACTGCCGGCAGGTGTTCTGGCTACACTCAGCCACATCTCTGGCTTATTGTCAGCCTTTGCATTGTGGCTGCTGCATGAGAAACAGCTCAGGAAGGGTCCTTCCCCATGCTTGCACAACATGTCCCCACCCTGAAGAAGAGCACACTTTTCCTGCCTGCCCCCTGGATCAGATACGCTTGCTTTCCCTTTCCATTCTTTCCTCTGAGGAGATGGATATGGGCCCTGAACCCAGGGCCTTGCACCTGCTAGACTACTGAGCTGCAGCCCATCCCTGTATTTTTGTTTTCAGACAGGGTCTCCCTAAGTTGCCCAGAGGAATTTGAACTCACTCTGTGGCTCAAGCAGGCCTCAGATTTGCAGTCGCTCTGGGATAGCATGTCTGACATGGTTTTGTTCGCAACCTCCAGCTTATAAATATGAAAACCTGGGGCCCCTACAGATCTACAGCCTGCAGACTCTAGGTGGGGACAGTACCCAGTCCATCCAGAGTATCATAATAAATCTCAAATCAGAAATCCTTCTGAAGCCTTCATGATGGGATGGAGGCTCATGTTGAGATCTGAAAGTGTCAGTCAGATACACATGTCTTTCTCTTTGCAACATCTCCCTGTCAGCCAGTTACCAGAAGGGAGCTCCTGAGACCCAGCAAGTAGTTCTTTGTGGCTCTGGGCTTCTGTGCCCAGGCCAGGGTAGGACCGTGCTTGGTGGTTTCTGCCAGCAGACATGAATCTAAAAAACAGCCTGATTACTAGCTATCAAATTGTATTTTTTTGGAAAGTCGGCCTGCGAAGCAGATGGTTCCTCTGCTGACTCGCAGAGAGGCTCCTTTAAATAAGGCTTCTAGGCTCTCCTAACCAACACTTGCAAAATGTAATGTTCACGAATTAAGGAGGCTTAATTGATGGCCAGCTCCAAATGGCACTGGATACAGGTCATGGAGGGTGGCCAGAGGCTCCTATAAAGCTTAGGGCATTGGGAGGGCTATTTGGATCCTCTAGGGCATTCTTATTTAGGCAACTGAGTTCCTCCCTGCAGTGCTCAGGCCCTGCCCATGTGCTTTTGAAGGATGGAGCAAAGAGATCAAGGACACACTCTGTGTGTGTGTGTGTTGTGGTGCGTTATGCTGTATGATGTGGAAGATACAGATGTGGGGTATCCATTTAAGAACACCCCACAAAATACCCCAGGAACACTCAGCATGCCATGTGAAGTGTTTTCTTTTAGCTGAGACAGGTCTGGCTTTGTGCAGGGGATTTAGGTTTTGGAGTGACAGGCTCAGGATCCTGTGTCTTCTGAGGCTGGGAGAGCCCAAGTCTCCAGGGCTGTGGGGAGAGGCCATGTGCTGGGACCAGGGTATTGAGGTCTTCAGGGAGTCTTTAGAACTGGTGTGTGGAGCCTGTGGTTACTCCTGGGGAGAGAGTACTGAGAGAGAGGGAGAGCAGCAGCCTGGCTGGCTGGGTGCTCCCAGTCTTCCTGGGAGACTGTGTCATCTGAGGTGGATGGAATGGATTCTTCTACTCTGCAGCCTGCATCCTAGTATGGCAAAGCACAAAACCCGGGATGGATTCCATACCAAGAACGAATAATGAGCTGGCACTAATAGACTAGTATTTAAGCTCTAAAGGAATGCAAACTTACCCCTGCCCCATCCCCAACACCTCATTTTGGCTCTAGGTGTCCCTCAGGTAATAAGGAAAATGTATTTTCCCTGGCTTCACTATGCAGTAGATATTATTAAGGTTCACATGGGCATTTGAAAGAAGCCCCATCCTTGCACACTGAGAGGTTAGACCCAGGCTCCAGTGAGCCAGGGTTGAATCCCTACCTTTACCTTTGCCACAGTGCGCAGCTCCTATTTCTCAGTCTTGCAGACCTGGTTACCTGGGCATCTGTACAGCCACAGCTGTAAGGTTAGACTGATGCCAGGTCCTAGTGGTATTGATTACTAGCTGGACAGTGTGCTTGCTACTGTGCCATCTGACACTGTTCTCCACAGTCTTTTTAGTCCTAAAATCACAAACATCATTTTTTATAAGTTTGTGAATTCCTTGAGGCGAGACCCCACCTTGTCTCTCTCTCTCTCTCTCTCTCTCTCTCTCTCTCTCTCTCTCTCTCTCACACACACACACACACACACACACACACACACACACACTTTGATGAACCAATAGAAGAGATGTTAATAATACTTCTTGGTAATATCAGGGTTTTTGTTTAGTTTTTGATGGCATCTAGGCCAGTTCACATTTTGTTTGCTCTTCATGCTAATAAAGCTGCTGGGACAAAAGTCATTAGTGCAGGTGTCGGCACTGAGATTCTGACACAAAGTTCCATTCTCACCCAGGAGCTGTGTAGTCTTGGGGGCATGTCCCCACCCTCTCTGAGCCTCAGCATCCTCCTAAAGGGACGGATCTAGACATTTTAATGCCTGGCTTCCACCCTAGAAAGGTTGGTGCCTCTTGGGTTTTGTCAGAGAGAGTTGCTTTAGTCAAACAGGGAGTAAGACGGCCTTAACCTCTGAATGATGTGTCTGAAGAGCCACTACGGAAACTAAGAGTTTCAACAGAAGGTATACCTTGCCCATGGCTGATGGTCGGTCATATAATTGCGTTAGAAGCCATTGATGGTAGTTAGCTATGTTTTCACACGTATTAAGAAAAAAAAGGAGGTTGAGAGATGGCTCATGGGGGAATTGCTTGCCATACAGACACAAGGACTTCGGACTCCTGTACCCACTTACACATCAGGTGGATGTGGTACCCCACCTATAATCCCATCGCTTGGGAGACAGAGATTGGGGATCCCTGGAATCCCCCAATCTGGGTTCAAGTGAGTGACCCTGCCTTAATGTATAAAATGAAGAAGGGCTGAGGAAGGATGCTGACATCAACCCCTGGCCTTCGCATGCACACATGCTTCCATGCTTGCGCACACACAGCACACATATGCCCCCCATATATATATATATATTTATATTTATATATATATATTTACCCACATGTAAGCAATAAGTAAATGAATCATATAGAAACCTTTCTGATAATTTTTCTTTAAAACCTTGGTTTCTTACACTGCGATCTCTTTCAGGAGACATGGCCTGTTCATTCTTACGCCACTTTTACTGACATGAACACAACAGATACTCCCAAAATTTTGTGATGAGATTACAGAGTGACTAGCTGGCGAGACCTGAGAAATGCCTGATCTTCACAGCCACCTACATCTTGCTTAGATATACCCTTCAGGAAACTCTGTCCTTTTCAGGTCAAGAGAAGCCCCCCTCCCGCATCTGGTTAGTGGGCACTGAAAATGCATTTTCAGCCGGGCGGTGGCGGCGCACACCTTTAATCCCAGCACCCGGGAGGCAGAGGCAGGCGGATCTCTGTGAGTTCGAGACCAGCCTGGTCTACAAGAGCTAGTTCCAGGACAGGCTCCAAAACCACAGAGAAACCCTGTCTTGAAAAACCAAAAAAAAAAAAAAAAAAAAAAAAAAGAAAGAAAGAAAATGCATTTTCCTCCTGGAACCCGTAAACAAGATGGCAGAAGCAGTGTATCTATGTTCAGGATGGTCTGAAGAACTAGCCTGTGACCGCATATAAATCCTGTAGTACATGGTGGTGGGGCCACATATGAGCACTTGTGGAAGGTGAGGGGCAATAAGTAGGGGAAATGAAGGGAAATACAGCTTTTAAATATGAACATGCCTGGCTCATAGTGTTTTCGCCAGCTCCAGTGACCCCAAACGTGCTAATCTAAGCTAAGCAAGTGTTATCTCCATCTTACAGTTGGAGAACCCAGATGGTTAGGAAGGAGAGGAGCCTGGCAAGACACACTTCTTCAAGACACACTAAGACTGCTGCAGATTTATATTTTGGAAAATACCCTATAAATTATCTTGAGACACCCAGGCCCAGGGAACAACTGTTTTTGTTGTTGTTGTTGTTGTTGTTGTCTTCTTTTACAAGTTTTTATTTTTGAGTGTTTGCTTGAATTTATGTGTACCAAGTACAAACAGGCACCCTTGGAGGTCATAAGAGGGCATCAGATCCTCTGGAACTGGAGTTAGAGATGATTGTGATCCCCTTTGTGGGTTGTGGGAACCTAATGTGATCTTCTAGGAGCAGTTAGTACTCTTAACTACTGAGCATCTCTCCTGCTCTTCTTGATTTCTAGGAATTAACTGGTAGAGGGTACCAGTTCAAAGAAATCTTTGTTCTTGATGAGATCTGGCCTCTCCGTGTGGGTGGGTAGGCTGGAATTACTAACCTCAAACTCACGATCCTCCTGTCTCAGCCTCGGGAGTACATTTCCAGCAAGTCATTTGAGTTTCATCTTCTAAGCTGCACGGATAGCCGAGGCCTCAGATGACCCTGCAGCAGGTTCTGGAGACTGGTATAGCTTTACTGCAAGGGGTTGATCCGCTCCGCGCGGCGGGAATCCAGCCCGGCTCTTGGGCCTTCCCTTCGCCGCGCTCGCGGCCGCCTCCGCGCTCCCGGGACCCGCAGGCCCCGCTGGGCGCGCGGCCTGCAGTCTCCGCACGTCGGCCTCCGCCCGCCCGCCCCGCCCCGCCCCGGCGCGCATTTCCATTTTAAACCGCCACCCGCCCCTCGACCGTCCGCGGCCGGCGGAGCTAACCGCGCGCCCGGATCCCTGGAAGAGGCTGAGGCTGCGGGACCGCCGAGCTGTGCAAGAAAAGGCCGAGGGATGCGCTTGGACCCTGCGCCCTAGACAATGAAGCCGCGGGCGCCACCGCCCGCAGTGGGCCCTGCGCGCCCAGGCCGCACCTGCCGGCGAGGCGGGTTCCGCGCTTGAGCGCCCGCCCGGTCCCCCATGGCTCGGCTCCCCGAGCGCGGACCCCGGTACTCGGGCCGCGTGGCGCGCGGGCGGGCGCACTTTGGGGGCGCTGTTCCCGCAGCCTAAGCGCGGGCCTTGCTGTGCGCGGGGGGCGTGGGCGCCGCTCCCTACCGACCAGGGCTCTGCACCTGGCCGGCTCTGCGCCCGCGGCGCGCGTCCCGACGGCCGGCGGCGCTGGATGCAGTCGAGCCTCGGAGGGCGGCGCGGCGGCCGCGGACCCTGGGGACATGTACCTGCTGGACGGCAGCGGCGAGCCCGCGTCGCCTCCCGCGGACGCGATGCCCCGCGGGACGCCCCCCAGGAAGACGGTCTACCGCATCTCGGTGACCATGGTCAGGAAGGAGCAGCTGGCCGCTCCGACTCCGCGCCCCACACGGCGGCCGCGGCCCGCGCGTTCCCCGGACGCCCCTGGGCGACTGGAAGAGGAGGCCGAGGAGGCGGCGGCTGAAGATTCTGAGGCCGGGCCGCGCGCCTGGGACTTCCGCGCCTTCCGCACACGCAGCACCGGGCAGCTGGAGCTCGGGCGGCTACGGCCGTGCACACGCGGTGCGGAGCCTGTAGACCTGATGGGCAGCCCTTCGGCTGAGCGGCCCAGCAGCCCCGACGTGGAGGAGGCTCGGGCCGCGCCCCTGCGGCGGAGCCTCAGCTTCAGGCACTGGAGCGAGCCCGAGGCCCCGCGGAGCCCTGCGCTGAGTGGCGGAAGGCGCCACAGCAGCTCCGGGAGCCTGGCATGGGCTCCCGACGACGAGGTCGAGGCGGAGGCCTCCCCGGAGCCAGTGACCGGAGCGCAGCCCGTAGCGGAGAAACGCAACACCTTGGATGTGGGCGAGGTGCTCAGCAAGAACGATGCGCTCTCAGATCTGGAGCGCTGGGAGCGCAGCAAGAGCAAGAACCGCACGCTGGACAACAGCGACCTGCAGCGGCTAGAGCGCGCGCGGGCTGCGGCCGCCGGCCCCGGAGCAGCCTCGGAGCACCGGCTGCTGCGCTTTTTCAGCGGCATCTTTGCGCGTAGGGATGGCGGGCCCTCTCCCCGAAGCGGCGCCCTGCGCTCCCGCGGTTACTTCAGCCTACGGCGGGCCCCGGCCGACACGCAGTCGTCCAGCGCAGAGAGCATCGAGGGGTCCCCTCGCAGAGGTGGGCAGCCCTCCTTGGGGGGGCGGGTTCTTGCACAGGCCGGTGGGGGCTGGGCCTGCGCTCAAGCAGCCTGCAGTGTAGGCATACTGGGGCTTTAGAGGAATGGGACACCTGCTTTCCCTGGTGTCTAGCCGGCCAGTGGTCCCAAGGGTGTGAACTGTCCTGATGTTCACTGCAGCAGTACGGGTGGTTCTGAATGCTGTCACTCCAGGCTTTATGTGCTTTATCAGTTCTGGGCCTGTTATATGGTCTTAGTGAAGTTGACAAGGGTAAGATCGCTTGGCTAATTGCTGCCCCTCTTGCCGGATCAGCCCTCTCCGTTTGCAGGGTGGGCACGCCCTTGCCCACACTGGCATGGGGGGTGGGTGGGTATGGCAGCCTTGGTTTTGGACTGAGCTTGGCATGTGCAGCTCCTGGCCAGCCACGAGGAGCCCACATTCCTTTTGAGTTGATCCTTGCCTCCCTTCTTCAGTGCAGCAGGCTGCTGTTGGTTCCACCTTCTGAGTGCTGTAATGGCTGATTTGGGTGACCCTACCCTGTGGAGCTTTTGGTGGAGTCAGCTCAGAGCTGATGAGAACAGATGACAGGCATCCAGGCCGCTCTGTCTCCACATGTCACTGGAGAAAGCAAGCTGGGTAATGAATGCTAGGAAATGAGGGGCCAGTCCCGCAGCCTGTCTGAAAACTTTAGAGCTCGCTTGTCTCTTACATGTCTACTGGGGCCTTGTGGAGAAGTCTCTGGGGGGCAGATACTGGAAGTGGTGAATTAGCCATATGATAGATAGCATTTGGGGGTCAGCAGCCTCTTGAAACCACAAAACATGGATCTGGTTTCTGCATATCACCTGGAGGGAAAAGACGGGGCATGGATGAGTAATTGCTACACCACTATGTGTGTGGGGAGTGGGTATTTTACTAGGGCAGTTCTGTAATCAGGCTTCTGGTTACAAAAAAGGCGCTGCTAATGGCCTCAAAGGTATAAGCAATGGAGGATAGTGATTCCTACAGTATCAGCTGGCTCCCACCATCCTGGAAAGGGCTTCTCCCAGCTGGACCTCACAGGCTAGCTGACTACCCTAGGTCCAGGCCCACATCACAACCAACCTTGGCAGAGGACCCATGGAAGGCAAACTCTTCTCATGGCTGCCCGTGGTCTTAGGAATGTGCTAGAGAAGAGAAGGGTTGGAGCAGACCCTGCTGTGGCGTGCTTGCCTGCTTGTTTCCTTTGCTCTCAAGTTACCTGTCACCAGCCTTGCTTGGTTGGTCGAGTTGCCTTGCCTGTCTAGTTGTAACACGCCTTGCAGCACTTCGTTCCACTCTTATCATTAATCCCTCTCACTGTACCTCCCTCGCGACATGCTTTTAAAGTGTTAGAAAGTGGCAGCAGTTATTTTGGGGGCCAGTGAGATTGACTCAGCCAGGTAAAGGCTCGCCACCAAGCTGGTGATTGCGTGATAGCTCCCACAGGGAACTAACTCCCACAGGCTGTCCTCTGACCTCCCTGCATGTACCATAATGCGAATCAGCAAGTTCACCCTGAAAATAAATAAATGAAGAAGAAAAAGGGTTGCTTTGCATGAAGTGGCTGTTGTCACTGCACAGAGGAAGTGCGAATTGAAAGGCCCCTGCTTACTCTAACAGCAGGTTGGCATCTCTGTTTTTGTGTAATTAGGTGCCTGGGTTCCAGATAAGTACCTGTTTTACAGAGATGGGGAGAAGCAGAGTCATGATCGGCATGAGTATGCTTCAGCTGCACCTGGACACAAGTTAAAAGCGTTTGAGGTTTTGATGAGTCCTCTGGGACAAACTCTTGAAAGTGGGTTTGCAGTAGTGAAGGTATTAAGCGTGTTGGAAGTTTGCCCCCTCGGGGTGCAAGTTTTTAATAGTAATGATGATCTTCCTGCTTATCTCTGTGGACAGACCATCACCACAAACTTTATGGGTGGTCATGTAGAAAACCCACAAGCTGGGAATGATGGTATGTGTTTCTAATCCCAGCCCTTGGGAAGTGCAGTCAGGAGGATCAACCTCTGATATATATCAAGTGTGAGGCTTGGGCTGCATCAGACCCTGTCTCAGAAATGGGGGTGGGAGGGGGGCAAACTGAAAATAGCATCTTTTTTTTTTTTTTTTTTAAGAAAGTGTTCTGGGTCATAGCATTCACATATACACAGAACTCTGTGGCCTTAGTTTATTCTAAAGTTCTGGATCGTGTGTGTGTGTGTGTGTGTGTGTGTGTGTGTGTGTGTAAAGCGCTACACCTTTCATCCAGGTAAAGTCTTTGTCATTGGTAAATGTCTGAAGTGTCAGGTCCGTGTCCCCCAGACTCGGGAGCAGCCTTGTTCTGTGGCCGTCACAGCCAGTGTTGCAAAACTCCCGCTTTCAGGCCTTATGGTTTTGTTAGGATCCTGTGGGGTTTCTTTGCTTGTTTTGGTTTTCATTATCTGTTTCTGAGAATGTCAGTTGTTGGAGCAGAGGTGGAGAGAGAGGTGGTTAAGCATACATAACTCTTCTTGCAGGGGACCAGTTCTAGCACCCACATCAGGCAGGTCACAACAGCCCGGGACACCAGCGTCAGAGGGATCTGATGCCTCTGGCTTCCACGTGCACCCGCACGCATGTACATACTCATGCAACACACAAATGCACATAATTAATCAAATAGCTCTTAAAGGGTATCAGTTGTTCAGAATTTCAGCGTTATATGAAAGTCTTGCTCTCATGTTATGGTTGGGTGCATGGTATCTCATGTTTTCTCTTTGTGAGTATTGCTAGGGCCGGCCCATCCTGCCTTGCCCAAGCTTACTTTGGGGCTCAGGTGGCTTTTCAGGTCTCAGGAATTTGATTTTTAGGAAGGGAGAATGGAGCTTGTGAAATGTGAAGTGTGAGGTCAGGGGCTCTTTATAGCTGCATACAGCTGGCTGCTGTGTCAGAGCAAAGCCCAAGCTTGGCTAAACAGTAGCAAAACCCAGGCCTGTGCCAGTTCCCAGCTGTTTTCACCACCCGGGGTTTAAACCTCTGCAGACCGAAACACCATCAGCATCTCTAGACACCAGACTTTATGACTTCCTTTAAATCTAGGCCATAATGGTTTGGAGTTAATGATCATAAAGGGAATTAGAGGTGCCGACACCTACAGACGCTTTCTGTCTAACACCTATTAGATTTTGAGTGGGCTGTAGGAAAAGTTACTTTAAAATTGGTATTATGGTGAATATTTTCCCTGTCCTATAATAAATGGCTGGTCTTAGATGTGATGCCTCTGTTAGCACAGGCAAAAGCAAACTGATTAAAACCTTATTTTCAGACACACACGTGCAGGCTCTGGATAGACGTGTGGTTGATTTTCCTGATTCCTAACTTGAGAGCTCTAGGGTGAAAGGGTGGAAACAGTCCACCTTCCCAGGATGCTTCACTGGGCTTTCTCAGCCTGTGCAGGCTCTTCTCACTGGTGTCCGGAGTCCCAGGGTTTATGCGGGTTAGACACAGTTTTCAGAGAGACCTTGTATCAGATCCAGGGCACACGTGTTAAGACATCCTGTTGACATGAGTATAATTTAATACAAGGAGAGATCAAATTGTAAGTGACTAATAAATAGCACTGATGGGTGTCACTCTCTGTGTCTGACAGGTGACATCAGACTAACTTGCCACACCAGTGAATTAGCCACTAGGCTAGAGATACATGCAGGGTCTTTTACTATGTGGGAAGGTTGATTATTGCAGTAAAGTGATTCCTTGATAACTCAGGCAAGGGTCAGTTTTTAAATTGGTAATTTACAACTGGTTTTTTGAGAGCACATTTTATCAGCAGCTGTGTTCCTTACTTTCTGGTTCCCTTGTTTCTGTAGTTCTTGGTTGTTATGATACTGTTGAGTATCAAGCAAAGGACATGAAACTTTAGTGGCCAGAAAAAGGAATAGCAATTAAATGAAAGAAAATTGCTGGTGTAACTTGATACATTGTTTTCGATTTGATTTGCTACCTGGACAGGGAAAATAGCTTGTAATGAAACTGTGTCATTCAGAGTCTTTCATTTGAAACACTTTGAATGATTTTCTACTCAGTCTTCAATGGCAGCTCCTCAATGTTGAGGATAAGAGAGCTCATCCTGTGGGCTTTTGTTGCTGTTTGGAGGGATGGGCCCAAATGGCTCTCTGCTGGAGACTCAGCAGCCACAGTGGGTATGCTCCCAAGAGTGGCATTGCAGCTCAGCCTGTGAATCTTTGTGCTGTTTCTCTAGGTCTGTGTGCTCTGGTCAGAGCTTTATTTCAGTATATGTCACCGGCTTACATCTTTTTCTCTGACAGTCTGGGCTTGGGATATCCTGCTGCTAGAGGAGTTTTCTAACGCATGCCCGTTGCAGCAACTTGTTTGGCTACTCCGCCATTAACAGCTACTCTTCCTTTGGAAGTGCTGTTGCTTTGATTTTTGTTTGTCTTGTTTTTCTGTTTCACTTACACATCCATGGGACATCAGCAGTGTGCTCTGAATTTTCTAGGCAGCAGAATCTGAGAGCTAATGGAGGCATGGTTTCTGTTGGCTGACATGAGTCGATTGGGGAGATTGAGGAGTTACAGGGAGTCTACTCAGGCAAGCTGTGACTGTTCCTCCAGTGTCACCTGCACTGGCTTTCTCACGCCAGCGAGTGGTCACAGTATCAGAGAGAGTTCCTCCTGGGCCAGTGCTGGCATTATCCCTCTCTGTGCTATGGAGCACAGGCACTGTACACAACACACAGGCTCTGGTTAAATGTGGGCAGTATGGAGGAGAGAGCCAGGGGACACAAATGAAGGAGCAGATGGCCTTGAGCTGGGGAAGAAGTTGGCTGTTGGCCTCATGGGGGTGAAATGAGCTGACCTTGCAGGATCATCAGGAATTCACTATGTGAGGAGAGCTCCCCACCAGCAAGTCGGGTAGGATTTTATTTAGGGAACTGCTAGTCACCCCACCCTGTCCTCAGATCTAATACATGTTGGCGATTGATACACCAACATGAAG